TAGACTCGACTGGACTCGAGTCGAGTCGAGTAGAGCGGCGAGTAGAGCGCTGCAACTGTGTGTTTTGTTGTTGGGCAAGACACTTGACTTGACGACGCGGCTTGCAGCTTGGCACGCCGGCTGGCAGTTTCGCTTTCAGCTGGCTTAGAATTCACCTGGTCGCCGCAATCGTTTAGATTTTCAATTTTTCGCAATTGTCCCGGACGACGCAAACAAGTTTTGCCGCACCGTCTGCCATTTGCTTTGCTCAAGCGCAGCAACAACATAAACAAACATTTGATTACCACTCGCCCCTCCGCTGTGGCAAATGGCGCCTCTAGAAGTTAGCATTTCGATAAAAACGTGAGCGTATGCCAACTTCCATAATTCGCTTTTGTCTGCGGTTTTGTCGCATATTTTGCTTCTTTGTTTGAATTTGCATAATTGTGCAAGATGTGCCCCTGCCTCCTCATATGCTGATTGTCGGCTTTCGGCCTATTCATAAAATTATATTGTACGGTTAGAAAGATTGGCTAATTTTTAAAGTTGTGCTTAAATGTTTATTCAAGACTGAAAAGCGCTAACGAACAGCTAATGATAATGAGCTGCAAGCTCTTGCATCTGCGTTGACTCTCTTGTAATTGCTGGAGTGGATTTTTTTTTTGCATTTGCGTTTGTTGAAACAGGCAGAGTTTTCAAGCATCACAATTAGCAAGTCACTTATAAGCTAAAAGAATGGGCTATACTCATAAAAAGAGACGGCTTATTAAACTGCGCATTAATTAAATTATTCGGAACTACCAAATTGTATGTCGGTTTGATGTCGGACAGACGGACATGGCTGAATCAATACAGCTGTTGATGCTGGTCTAGAATATATACACTTTATGAGGTCTCCTTCTATGCAATACACATTTCATGACAAAACTTTAGTACAAATTATAATATTTATATATAAAAATAAAATTTTTAAAAAATAAACTAGAATTTCGTATCTAATAAACAGAAAAACAAACTCTGGTATGTTACATCATTAGGGCAATTATCATTGCTATTTGACCTTCATAAAAAGAATAAATATCATTAAATCATTTTCTAAATAACTAAATAATAAAATCGATTTTACATGCTTGGCAAATTGGCGAAAATCATTATTAAATTCATTTCACAATATTTAATTAGACTGACTATTGGTAGGTTGTAATAAATTACTAATGTAATCAATATTGTAAAAGTATTTATTTGAGCTTAAGAGCTTTATCATAGTACTTGTCTAGAAGATTTACTGAAACAATTGTTTCCGACCAGAGTACTTTTACTTGTTTAAATTTTGCTTAAATCCAGTCGCATTCACTTTTATATTAATATTACAGTTCCGCTTAACTTAAACCTTAAGCACCGAAAGCTTATTTCTTTTAAACAACCTGCCTAGCAGCTCCACTTACTGGCCATATTACAACGCTCTCGCCGTCAGCTGTAAGCTTTGGTATTTTTCCATTTTACAAAGGTCAATGCGTTCACCTTGACAATCAAATAGACAATCTAACAAACCATAAACAGCCCAATAAGCAGAAGCCCTACAAGTTTGTTGCTGACGAAGCAGGTTTTTCGATTTTACAAAAGACACATTGTGAAAAATGAATTTTTGCCTGTTTTTTTTTCTTCTTCTTCAAATGACATGGCATATATGCGAGCACGACTATATTAAAATTTGTATTTGTTTACATATGGCAAGTCATGATTGGAGTATATTAGCCAGAGAACTGACAGAACAAGCAAACGATTTGCCTTTAACTTGACTTCCGTGATGTTTCGTTTTAAAAAGTTTAGTGTTTTTTGCAAAAACTTGAAATTATGGAATAAAGAGTTCAGAAGAAAAGCAAAATTATTGGTCATTTAGTATACGTTCCATTTGCTGTCCCATAAAAATGGTTTTGTAAATTATAATAATAAAAAAATATACAAAAAAAAAATGATCTCATGGCATAAATCGCAGCATGAACATATTTAAGTTATTATCATGTTATGCATAAATTATAATGGCCCATTTCCTGCCCTTGTTAAAGTAAAAAGAGAAGAGAAAAAAACACGCACGAATTGCATGTTCAATTATGTGACAAAATGTCTGTCAACAAGGCAACAAGTGAAAGATGCAACAGATCATTATTATCATATCATCATTTTGATAATAATCATCGTCAGACACCAGCAGGCATGTTACCTTTAATGAATTTTCGTATTATTTATGAGTATTTTTCGGGGCAAATTGCAGAAAACTAACTGTTCAAATGCTTGTACCAGGCTAATTCGACTAAGTTGATACACTTCACTACATTGAAAAGAAGCATCAATTGGCCATACAAAAATAGAAACACGAAACCTTTAGCCTTATGTATCTGCATCGGTATCCTCACAAAATGTAGATATAGAACCATAAATCAATATCTTCATCTTCATAATGGCCAAATGGCATGATTAAATATATACATATGTGTATAACAAAGCCGTAAATTTGTTCAAATTTTAGTTGCAAATTCTCTTAAGCTCAAACATTCTTTTTAAATACTTTATCAATTGAGGGTATTTCAATTATTCTTGTTAACAAATGTAATTAATTTAACCTTCTTTATTTGATAAGGCAAATGCTTGCATAAAATATTATTTACCTTCAAAGTCATATAAATTTGTTAATAAAAAAAAGCAAAAAAAGCACTAGACAAATTCAAACTTTTTAAAGGTTAAATATATTTGAAATCGATTAATATTCGATCTTTTTTTTAATAAAAATAATCGCTTTATTCTTTTACAATGATATATTTGGTTTTCTAACAATCGTTATTTTCATAACAAATATTAAGCTTGGAGTTTTGTAGGTTAAAAATTGATTTATATTTTCAAAAGTTATACATTTGTCTAGCATTATTTTGTAATATATTGTCCACTTTGGACTATCGATTATTATCGGGCCGCACAGTCCAGAGTCTTTGGCTTTCACAGCAGCTAACCTGCGTGTGTTAATAAAAATAAAATTAATAAGAATAAATTTAGAAATAGAAAGTTACTTAAGCTCGAAACACTTGGCTGTAGGTGGCTTACATATCATATTAGCTTCATAGTATGGAAGATAAATCTTCTGGTTGCATGTTACATACACCTGCACAACTATATGATACCCTTTTCGTCCGGGCAGGCTGCAGAGCATAACAACGCCGGCCACGTTGCGCCACATTCATTGTTAATGTCAAAATAATTGGACACGCTTGCCAGTGCTGGCCCCTGAGCAGAAACCGATGTTGCACCCCAAGCCGGAGATCTGTTCGAGCGCCCAACGGCTGCGGGCAGCGACGACGTCGCGTGTGGCACGAAAATTTATGAGCCGCCTCTGGTAGCAAGCGAGATGGAAAGTGCTACTGTGTTGCCTTTTTGTTGCCGCCGCTGTTGTTGTTCTTGTTTTTGTTGTTGTTGCATTATTGTTTCCTTCCAAAAAATATGTAAAATGTTATGTTAATGTTGTTGCCCGCGCCCCTTTTGTTATCTTTATGCGACAATGCAGACGTGCGAGCCATAAATTTTGACAGCTTATTGACACTAAAACAACAATAGCCGAAAAAGAGACTTGAAAGATTTGGAGAAGTTGAAAATATTTCAACTATTTACCCAAGCAGAGGCGTCAAATGCGAAGTCTATTAACACGCTACCGTCAACTGGCAGACAATTCGCATTGTCTGCGGCTTGTTTGCTCACTTATGCGTTTTTTGTTGTCGTTGTTTTGTATTTTTTGTAAAAGTCAAGATTTGCATATGGAACAACATGTATGTGCACTAATATTTGGCATATTGCCTGTCAGTTGGCAGCGTTCGCAAGAAAAGCCCAAAGAATGGCGCGGGCCAAAACAAAAGACTTAGGCAACAAACTTGTTGATGTATTTGACATTTGACAAACGCGGGCTTAGCGGAAAGCTGATGGATATACGCTGTTAAAAGTTACGATGAGGGTTTTTTTCTGCCATAAAACGATGTCGGCCAGCTAAAAGTTTTTCAATGAAATTATGTTGAAAAACTTTTTTTGTTGAATGTTAATTTAACTTAAAAAATTATGTGTCAAATGGCCTATTTTTAAGAATATAACAACTAAGCGAGTCCTTTGCAGTGAAATCAAGAAAATTTATAAGCTTCTCTTTTTATTAAACGAAATTTTCTTTAAGTTCATTTATTTTTATTTACAACGTGAAGTACTGTTTTATACCCTAGACATTTGGTACATGAACATAATTCTGTTTCTTCTTCTTAAATAAGGAAAGATTGATTTAATATCTGCAATTCAATTATTAACAAATGAAACCAATAAGAACATTAAGTCCATTTATGAAGCTGTTTTTGAGTAGAATATAAAATAAATTAATTAAAAGGGACTGACTTTTCTCTTGGGCTCTGCATTTTTGTTTATTTATGATGTCTGTTTATGTATTCAACACACGATGCTTTCAGGTATCAATTATTGAACATTGTTGATTAATAACACATTATTAAGATTATAAGTATTTTAAATTTAATAATTCGGACTCGCGAAAAATAATTAAATTATGATAATTATATGTCATAATAGGTGCATATTTAGCTTAAAGAAAATGTGAAGGCGCGATGCAAGAGATTAAGAGTTTCTGAAGTCAAGCAGTTGCCAATAACTAATATGCCAATCCAAAAGGTACTTTTTCTGACTGGCAACATAAATGCAAGCTATGCAAAGATTTAATTGAATGCAGCCAAAGACAGTCTGTGTGGTTTATACTATCGAGTTGTTAAATTGCATTAACGACTTGTTGCAAGCATTTTATTACTAAAGATAAGCTCTATCTAAAATAATTATAATGAAAAAAATATTGTTTTATATGTATTTTAAGAGGGCCAAGCTCATCAACTAGCCTTTTCAGGCACCCTTTATTACCTAGCCATAAACCTAAATTAATTTGCGCTGCTTCCTATATAATTAACAACACCTCTCTTATCTTTTGCTTCCTGCAGGACCTTTATTATATCGCCTTTGGCTATCCTGAAAAGGAACTCAACACGGACATTGCATTAATAACTGGTGGCGGCAATGGACTGGGTCGTCTGCTGGCCGAGAGACTAGGCAAAATGGGCACCAAAGTCATCATCTGGGACATTAACAAAAAGGGTAAAGCAAAATTGAGAAAGAGTGACCGAGAGAGTGAGTTATGTAATTTTCTCAATCTTTCAGGCATTGCGGAGACCGTTGAGATCGTACAAGAGGCGGGCGGCTACTGCAAGGGCTACGTCGTAGATATATCAAAGAAGGAGGAGGTCTACAAAGCGGCCGATGTCATCAGAGAAGAAGTCGGTGATGTAAGTATCAAACCCGAAAGGGGGCAATCGTGTGATGCATTTGTGGAATGCGTGCGTCAATTGAAGCATAAAACTCTAGTAATTGACGTTCACAGTTGAGCGCTCAAAATAGTCGCCTCTATGCGCTACGTAATTGTTTGTTGAGGGGCGTTTAATGGCCAGAACCCTGTGTGGAACACATGTAGGACCAACACTCTTCATGTTGCCACGCCCCCGAGCAACACATTTATGTATATACTTATGTCATAAATTTTGTTCACCGGCCCCCAAGAGAAAATTTCGTATGCATGAGCGCATCTTCAGCGTTCACCTTGAGAAAGCCGGGAGAGAGAATGAGAGAGGCAGAGAGAGATAGAGAGAGAGAGAGATTGCTGGACGCGTCTTCAAACTGGTTGCCACTTGCGTTGCATCTGGCAATTTATCACAATGTAGAGCACCGAGTGCCTTATACTTTTACCTGTTTACCCCCGCCCTGCGCAGGGCAACCGCAACTTGCATTCTAATTAATCGCAACTGGCACGAGCTGCCACACTGCCACGCCCATTTGGGAGACACATTAAAAATGCATAAAAATCGCAGCCACTAATTGTGTGACTGCCGCGAATGCATCTTCTGTGTGCGATGCATAAATCTTCTGCATGCATATCTCGGCTCCGGCCAAGGCAAGATAGCATTGCAACAGCATTCGACCACAAATCGTGTCACGGCATTCATTATCACTGTGAATGCAACTGTGAATGCTGACTGCCAACTGCCTCTCGAGTGCTGCCTTCTGATTGCCGACTGTTTGGCGAGTGCCCAGCGCAGTTGCTAATGTGATTAGCGCAGTTTTGCCAAAGTGTCGAAAGTCTGGCAAGCGCATCAAAATTCATCATTTACATCATTTATGATGCCCTCTGTCGGCGGTTTTGTAATCCTCTAATGATATATTCAAGCCAGATTGCCTACACACATATACTTTATATACTTTACGAAGATCTAGAACTTAGCTTAAAATACCTGAGTTCTCTGTTGAACCCATTGGCAAAGTCCAAAGCGTACATTGCTTGTCGGCTTGTTAACCTGCTGCTTAAAATTAAAAGAAAATACTCGTTTATAAACATGTCAGATGGTGTTAAGATTTGTTGACTACGCCCACTCGGGGCGTGATAAATCGAAAAAATCTACATTACTTACATTTTATAATGTTATTTTATTTTCGGCGCTATTTAACTCCGTGACATGAAACTTGGCCTACATGTTTACTCGTTTATTATCTACGTCAGATAAAGTCTGCGGACTATGTGTTTGCGCCCCTTGGGGGAATGGCGTGTCAGAAAAATCGATACATTTTTTAGTTCGTAGCTAGTGAGATCAACTTTGGGAGACTACTTATGAGCTCCCCAAAAGATCAATCAAAATATTCAGCATACGCCCACTAAGAGGGCGTGTCAAATCAAAATTATAGTTATATCTTTATATAGTTGGCTTGTAACTTGATTTAAGCTGTTATCAGGCTGTGAATGATTATGACTTACTTGTTTTTGTCTTCATATTACTCGACCAAGCTCTCCAGTAAAAAAAAACATCTGTGTACATTAGGTAATTTGGCAAATTAGATTAATTTGTTTTCGAATCAGATTCATAGTCAATAAATTTCTGTTAAATAAAACATACATCAAATAGAAAAATAGAAAAAGCCAAAAAATATTTAAACAAATTTAATCTAAAAAGTATCAAATTGTAGCTCATATAATGCTCGCCTTCCAGGGAAGGGCATTAAATCTTTGGCAGAAAATACATAGTTATTCTTTTCAGCCTTTTCTTAAATTCATATAAAGCATGAAAAGATGACTTCATTTAACAATTTTTGAGTAACAGTTGCCTGACTGCCGCTTCACCTGCTAATTAGCTTAGCTCACTTCTATTTGTTGCTTTAATTAGAGCTCTCGAGTTCCAACTGCTAATAAGTGAAGGTTGAGGCTAACATTATATTCATTATTACTACTTCTATTATTATTTTCATTGAACGCTTTTGGTTGAATAAAATTATAGATTTCTTATAGAATGCAAACTAAGTAAAAGGTTATAAAATATAAACATTACATAACTAGAGTGTATTAAGCATATTCATAAATCGGACAATAACTAAAATTTAAATATGAGATTCCATTTGTTATTATACGAATTTAACATATAGTTTTGACTGACATGTAATTTTATTTTATTCTTTATTTGAACTCCAAAATACTTGTTATATAATTATTTTAAAGAGCTCTATAATTATTAGAAGCGAAATCTTTTGTTCTATTCAACTACAACCCGAACGGTATCAACAATTTTGGTCAGTTAATTGTTGCCAAGCTTTTGTCAACTGACTTTTAAAATGCCATCATTAGGAGAGTTCAAACCGTTTTACGCTTGGCCAGCGGCTGTTACCAAATAAAATATAAACGCACTGACTAGTTCAACAACAACAGCAGCAATGGAGCCAAAATCATTAGCGTAAAACCGAACTTAAGATAGATACTTTGACATCAAATTATACAGCTCAAAAACTAAATAAATATTATAAATTGTTAGAAGTCAGCAGCTTGGCCAGAACACAATATACTTATCAAAAAAGAAGAAAAAAAAGCAATTGAGGAGATTGCTCTTTAGAGTTTTGGAGAAACGAACTGACCAAAAATTTCATTATACACTTCTATTTTACATACTGGGTATCTCCATCTCAAATTATATAGATATAGACAGACCGTTGTTTAGATGGACTTAGCTAGATCAACTCGGGGGATCAAGGCTGCGCACCCGTTTCAAAATGGCTCAAGCCTTTCAATCTATATATTTAATTCTAAGAATCAAAAATATTGGCCTTAAAACAGCCGAGACAAATTTCGCACGGGATGGGCTGAAAAGAACCAGGCTTACGAAGCGATATTTAAGACAGAAAATTATTTCGAGCCGTAAGCTGAGCCTAACTAATTGAAGGCTTCCTTGGGGCACAATTGAATGGTTTTATGGGCAAATTCGATTTGAATCAAAACCGGGGCTGAAGACTGAAAAGTCAGGTTAAAGTATCCAGCATAAAGTTGGTTCGAAGCGTAAGTTTACGGCCATCAACCAGGCTAACTCGGTTTAAATTGTATATGAAAATATCTAATAATCATCGGAAAGAGAATTTAGAAAATTTCTATTGACCTGTTTCATTAGCAGACTTATGTCTGAACCCATTAAACTAAAAATACCTGGGCTCAAGGCTGTAGAAGATAAGTTTCACGTATCGATCCAGAAAGTTACAGTCGTTAGCAGAAGTTAAAAGCCTTGCATTTGGTATGCCTTTTAGCAGCTTATTTACAGGGTATAGCAATAGCAGCAATAAGCAAAAAAGCATTTAACTGCTTAGTAAGTCATGCGTTATGCAGATGACGCGTTGCTTTAGTTGTTGTTGCTGTTTTTGCTGCTGTCGTCTGGTCTCTGAAATATTACATTTAATATTTTTAATAGCTGCTGTGCCTTTTGCTGTGTTATTGTTGTTTTAATGCACGCCTCGTTAAATGTTTTTTGTGTTGTTTATTTTGTGCGTTTTTTTTTTCTCTCTGTTTTTTTGTACCCAGTGCTCGCAATTTGAAATCGCGCATACGCAACGTGGGACCCGCAGCCGCCCGCCGGCGCCCATCTTCGGTGCACTTGAACTCGCTGTGGCCTGAATTTGTTGTACATACTTGTTGTGGCTGTTGTTGCTATGATAGCTTCTTGTTGTTTCTTTTTGTAGTTGTTGTTAGTGTTTATGTAAATGAAATGTTGCACTTGTTGTTAACTTGGTTAACTAGCAACAGCAACAGCTGAATCGCTACTGAAATCATATTTAAATTTCGAGCATTTTACATTATTTGCAATTAGACCTTGACACGTTACACTTTTTGTTTGGCTTCCATTTGTTTTGAGTGCATCTTAATTAATATTACGCATAGAGATTTCACTTGCAAACCGTTTTGTAAGCATAATTACACTTTTTCGCTTTCCGGTAAATGATTTGGAACCGTAACGAACAATTTAACAAGCGAGTGCTAATATTTATAATAGGAAACGGAACTGGAATTCACTGAGTTTGTTTTTTTTTTTTTGCCAAAATGTATAGAGAAAGATAAGCAACAGAGCACAACAGATATTTAAGTTAATTAAGACAAGTTTTAGTAAACTTAAATTATATGAAAACTTTACTGAATTAAGTTAAATTTCTTTTGTGCGCCAATTGGTAGCGATTTGTAAAAATAATCTTTAAACTATCCTTAGGAAATCCATCTATATTCCACTTTTATAGTACGTTTCTTATTATTTCGGTTTCTATTTTTAAGAAGTATTTTACCTGAAATCGAATAGGTTCAACATTGAAAGTTTTTCAAGAATATATATGCAGATACTCAGTGGTCTCAGTCTTTTTTATTGCTTTAAAAATTATACGAGACATATTAATAATACGGCCTGCAGAGGTCAAGACAAAAAGCTTTAAAGAGGTTGTTATTAACACAAAACGCCTAAAGTTTGTTAAGACATAAAGTCATAAAAAACATAGTTTATAGAGCTGAAGGTGCTTTTCAACCCAGTCTCAGCTGTGTCAATTGAGAAGCCAAAACAAGTTGAGAATTTTTGTTGATGTTGGTAGAACGCAAATTGCGCAAGTTCCGCAACATGTAAATTATTGAAAAAAAAAATACGTATATTCAAGATTTGATGTGGCAAAAAATAATAAATAATTAAACAGAAGTCAAGAAAATGTTTACAGCAGCTCATAAAAAAACTTGTATTTTTATGCCTTTCGCAGGTTACTTTGCTGATCAACAACGCCGGAGTTGTCTCTGGGCTACATCTGTTGGATACGCCCGACCATCTGATCGAGCGCTCGTTCAATGTGAATGTTATGGCACACTTTTGGGTTAGTTGAATACACACACGCACACACACACACACAAGCTTGCTTTAACTACCAGTTTTCATTGCACAGACCACAAAAGCATTTCTGCCCAAAATGATCGAGAATGAACGAGGACACATCGCGACGATAGCTTCACTTGCCGGCCATGTTGGCATTAGCAAATTGGTCGATTACTGTGCCAGTAAATTTGCAGCGGTTAGTACGATGCCCTCTCTCTGTCTGCTACACTGTATGCAAATAACAGTGTCAGCTAAATGTATTTTACTACATGCTTGTGCACAATAATTACAGGTTGGCTTTGACGAGGCACTGCGTCTGGAGCTAGAAGTCCTTGGACATACGAACATACAAACCACCTGCATTTGCCCGTTCTTTATACAGGCAACGGGCATGTTTGACGATGTGAATGCCAGGTGAGTCGCAGCGCTGAGAACGCTTTAGGGCGTGGCACTTGTGGTAATATACTGACAGTTAAACTGTTCTTGCAGATGGGTGCCCACATTGAATCCCAACGATGTGGCCGATCGTGTCATCTCGGCCATTAAGAAGAACGAGAAACTTGCGGTCATTCCTGGTTTCCTCAAATTCCTGCTGTCCTTCAAATGGTGAGTAACCACAAACACAAAAGAAATGTCTTAATGGGGCTCCCAAACAGGCCAGAACGACCATCTGGGCCAGATATGTGTTCAAGTATTTTAATTTAACAGCAACTTAAGAGTCGTTTTTAAGGAATGCAAATTAGTGATATTATGAGATTCAAGTAAGATTTGATAATACGAACGGAAGTCTGAGGCTTAAAGTTAAGCTAAGCATATTCGAATTCATTAATTGGGATACGTTTGCAAAGGAATACCAAAGAGATGATTAAAATAAGTAAGATGATGAATAAGTAGTCGGGAGGGCCCGACTATAGGATATCCTATAGCACGTTTTCTTTAATAACGCTGTAGATCATATTGAGCGATAGATATAGATCGATTTATATATTCTCAACGAACATGGCTAGATCGACTCAACTATCGACGCTGATCAAGAATATATATGCTTAATGGGTTCGGTGATGCTTTCTTCTGCCTGTTTAGATTAGAATTTATAGTTTTATTTACAGTTTGGCAGTTCTTTAAGAAACTAAACTTAAAAGATTATATCTTTATTTTGCGAATCATTAATCACTTCATCAAAGTACTTCGAAAAGTACATATTAAACTTGTAGTTAGCCAGTTTCATTAGGCTCATTGAGAGCTCTTCACCAGAAAAAAATAAAAGATAGAACATAACTATCTAATTATCAGATTTAAATGCTATCTAGCATTTTCTCAGAGTGCTCGAATAAGATTTCGTGCGTATTATTGAATTAGTAACCCCTGAAATTGATATTAAAATATATTGCCTAATAAATGGACTATCGCCAATGTTATATGCATTTCCATGCCTGTGAATTATTACCCATTTGGAAATCAGTGAAACTAAAAGGCTGAAACGCAACCGTCCCCTCTACCCCTGGCATGGGCCATGGCTAATGGTCTCGCTTTAATGTGTTTCACTTTAATAATGCATAACATTTACCTTTGCCTTATTCTATATTTTGTCTCTTCTCGTTTTTGTTTTGCCTATTTGCAGGACCTTCCCTTGGGGTTGTGTGGGCGGCTTGTTGCGTCGCCTGGTGCCGGATGCCTCGCCCCACGGCCTGCCCAGCTCCGCGGGCAGCTGCAACAACAGCAATGGCAAACCAAATGGCAGCATCATTTCCTCCACCACCGTCGCGGATATGGCCGCCCTCGATGCTCAGTTGAGCAGCGCCAGCGTCACGTTGCCGGCCAAATCACCCTCGATGCTCATCCAGCGGACTCCTTCACTGGGGGAGCGGGTGCTCTGAGGAGTGCCGCTTCACGTCTTTGTTGGCTTATTTTTTTTGCATTTTACGAGTTATGTGTGTAATTGAATTTGTGCTTTTGGCATTATTTTTTTTTTCGTTCTTCTCCCTTTTTTCGGGCAAGCGACCATCCGCGTTGAGAGATTTGTGGTCAGCAGCCCATTTAGTAATTTTAAGCTACGAGTCTAGTGATATTACATTTAGTTATGATGGGCCTCGACGGGCCCTCAAATACGATTAGTTCTTTAAAATGCTGATTCGTATTTTTGTACAGAAGCGAGAGAAAGAGATATAGAGTCGAGCGCAGTCAGGTTTAAAAGCATTTCCCCTTCGGTTGTAGACGTTTTAAGAAATCCACTTGGTTATTCAAAACTAGTTAATTCTTTTCTCTTTATTTTGGGCATAATTCTCTTTTTATTTTGTTTAGCATAGGCCGCGTGATTTCTTCAATCGACTTTTGCCGTAGGTAAACTTTATATAAGAAACATATTTTCTTTAAATACTAATTAGCGTTATTTTTACTAATAATAACTCAATTAAAACTTAGTTAGCAGGCAAAACCAATTGTCAAATATACAAATACACGTTGAAAAAGTTTTCATATTTCTTAGCTAATACCATTTTGTGTGCATCGCATGTTTAGTTAATGCTACTATACAAATAATTTATCGAAAAAATAAACTATTTGAAAAATATAAAAATATACATATAAAAAAATGATTCTTATTTTATTCAGCAGCATTTAACGCACATCTGTATTTAAAGCGAAAAAATATGGTTTATACAAGCTAATTTTTTTATGAAAATAATTAAATATTGTTCTGAGCTTTATTTTACAGAAATATGGTTAAATCTGTTAACGTTAAGGCAGCATTCGAAATTATTAACATGAAACCTAACATGAAAATGTTAAAGTATTAAATGTTAACAAGAAAAAAAATGATAGTATTTTAGAAAATATTTGATATAGAAGAGAGAGCAATGCAAATGCCAAGTTTACTTTCTACAATTGGAAAATACATTATACATTAGTTTAATATAAGATACTGATTTTATTAAGAGTTATGTTAAGTTATTCGTAAGTTTAAACTTAAGTTGAATGAAATAAGTATCTAAAGTTTTGATGCCAGGCTACTCGTTTTGGAGTTCTCAATTGTCTCTCTCGTTGTCCCCATAGTGCAATTGTAAACATATGTAGACATTCGAGCTTATCTAACTTTAGTGACAGCTGGGAGCTGTCTTAGCTAAAGCTTTGGTACATGCTGACCCGCTAATTTTATGTAATACTAGATAATACATGTAGTTTGGCGAGACTTGCAATCAACTGGCAAACGGATTCTCATCGTAGTTGGCGCTCAACGCTCTGGGCACTTCGTAATGGCCTATGGGATCTCTGTATATGGGATTCTCCTGGCGTGTACTTTTCGCCTGCTCCTCGTTGAAGCGGGCATACTCTCGAGCATCCTTCATACGCAGACACCACCAGACTAGTCCAATTATAATCAGACCCAGGAGCACGGTTATCAGCGAAATGTAGCCAAACATGGCATATAAATTGACTGGCTCGCAGTCGACAGCCTGTATGGCCAGATAGTTGGTATGATCGACGACCTGATAGCTAAAGTAGCTATCACACTGGATGCCATGCTTGTTGACAATGCGCACCAGACAGATGGCCTCTGCCTCCAGTTCGTCGACAAAGAAGTACTGGGCGCCCGAACATATCTCGTTGAGGTTTTCGCAGTGGCCCATATGCTGTTTCTGTACAATTAGGCATTGCACGCACGGCTCATAGAACTGGCACACCTTGTTGTCCTTCTCCGGATCGATTTCACAGAACTCGCCCAGATACGGCTCCCGGCAGCTGCACACGCCGCAGTCACAGCTGCCGCGCTCCGAGCATATCTCGCCGGTGGGTCCAATGCAGCCGTCCGTGGACTCCTTGCAGTTGCACTGTGTGCCCGACCAGCCATATTTGCACACGCACTGCCCACAATAGCACTCGGCCCGCTCCTCGTCGCAATCGACGCACTCCAGGCACTCGCAGTACGCGCCCGTATAGCCCGGATCGCAGCTGCAGCTGCCGCAGTCGCATTCGCCGTGGTTGGAGCAGACCTGGCCGGAAATGCCATTGCCCTCATTATCGACTGGTGGGCGACAGGTTTTAAGCAGTGCCTCGTTGGTCGTGGCATTTGTGAGATCAGTGGGGCAATTGCAGAAAGTGCCCGTCCAGCCCTGGTCGCAGATGCACATGCCGCAGTTCAGATAGCCCTGGTTGTCACATTGAAAGCGTGCGTACTCGTCTTCCGGTTCCGCGACCTCCACGCAGGGACAAGGACGCTGCAGCTCCACATCGATGTCCATGTACGCACTCAGTGAGGCCTCCTCCACGCGTATTTTGTGATTCTGCAAGGCAACGCGGTGAAACATTGATGTCAATAAAATCCGGGATCGACACTTACCAGTACCCCATTATCTGGATAATGCGTGAGTGTTACATCCACATAAAATTCAATTTCATTGCTCACATTCGCATTGCTGCAATAGTTGCGTTGGCGCAGACTGGGAAATTGTCCGGCACAGTCCGTATAGTATTCCATTTTTATGAAATCCGGACTATTGTCGCCAAATTGAGTACGCTTTATGAAGCTCTCATAGCTGGTATAAAGAACAAAAAAAGGGATAAGACCAAGTGAAAAGTGCAAAACATGTCCTATATGTTTTCTTATAAAGATCTTTAGAAATGAACCCCCATTTCCCCTGAGTAGGACAATATTTTCCGAATAGTGTTAAACACTCCTCAAAGGAATCAATCAGTTAGTCATTCAGTCAGTCAGTCAATCTGTCAGTCAGGGCAATAAGTTTTATATATAGAGATTTCTCAGTATATATATCTTCCTCAATACAATTATATCCCACTTACCTCTTCTTAATCAACTCCAAAATATTGGATGAATCGGCGCTCAAAATTTCCACATTGCTGATCTCCTGCATGAGTCCGCTGAGTTCCTGGTAGGTGCCGAACACCTGCTCTGTGACGGCGAATATGACATTGATCTTGCGTCGCAACAGCTCCCGATAGATCTCCTCCAGCGATGGATAGTCATAGACCAAGGAGCCCGTGTACTCGCCGGCCTTGTTCAGATGGCACTTCCGATCGTTGCGCTGCACGATGCCGGCCAGGAGACCGTCGCCAGCAAAATGCATGAAGCCATCGGTGACCAGGATGACCACCTTGCGCGCCTGTTGCTTCCAGCCAATCTGCTTGGGGCACACAATCACCTGCATAAGTGCATCCAGGCCGCCCTCCAAATTGTCCAGATTGCCTGTGATGCGGCTGGCCGCAACGGCAGCTGTGAAAGCCTTTATATCATCCGTCAGCTGCAGATGATGCCGATAGCCATAGGTGGGCTCACAGCGCTCGCGTTCGGCGGCACAGGGATTATCCCGCAGCTGTGGCATTATCATCGGCATTGCCGGCTTGTCCGCAAAGGAGCCAAAGCCCAGGCGATAGTTATCTGTTAGATTGTGCAGCGTCTGGGTCAGCTCCGTGCCGAGTTGCTCCAGCGTGTCCTTGTCATCGCGCATGGTCCATGTGAGGTCCATCAGCACGTACAGGTCGAGCGGGTTGTTGCGTGCCGCCCGATAGCTCAGCTTGATGCGTTGCGTGTTGCCTGTAAAAGATATTCCAATTGGATAGAGGGCGGGCAACAAAAACAAAACCAAATAATATAAAAGAAAAACGGGGTTTACAACTGGCTGTAAAGTCAAGGGGTTAAGTGCGCCATTTACGAGCTGTTTTATAGACTGCGATGCCATTGAAAGACAGCCAGCAGTAGTTAAGCATTGTCTGCTCTACATTCCACCATTGCACACTACCCTCCCCTCACTCCCCTTCACTTCACTGAACCATTCCACAACCCTTCATTACCACTTGAAGTTGTTCGCACCCATGTTAAATGTTTTGTCTTCCTTTAATCCTTAAGTCTGCAATTTTCCCATCGCATAATTGCAATTCGCGTTTTTTTTACCACTCACCCTTTAATGACAGCCCATTGCATGATCTTTCCCATTCGATGAGTGCTCATCTTGGCACTCAATTGGACCATAAACAGCTTGATTGAACCTGCCCCAACTAATAATAAGGTTTCTTATCTGTAGCTAAATTTAGCGCAACTTTCCCCAAGATATTTGCATGTTGAAATTTCGGGTTTTTAGTTGATTTGTTGCCAATATTTCCTCTTCAATGTATCGCTTTCCTATCTTCCAGAAGATAGGAAAAATTGGCTGAAGTTAATCACTTTTGTGATGGATAAATCCAAGCTTAAACGAATAGAAAAGAGCTTTGTGGAATGGGAAACCTTTTTCATTGGTAGGGAAAGCGTTACGATTGGCAGTTAATAACAATTATCGCCTGGGCGATACATTTGCGACACTAAAAGCATTACATTTTGTTTCATATAACTGGACTTTCCTTAATCATTTTCTTATGAGACTATAAACAATAATAATACAAATGTAATAGTAATCATAATAATGATAATAATAATAACAAAAATTGTAAAAATAATAATAATAATAAAATAATAATATAAATAAAAAAAAGATGATCATAAAGATGATAATATTAATAAAAATTGTAGTAATAATAATAAGCATAATAATAACAATAATAATATGGAAAGTAAAACAGCAACGATAATAATAATATAAATATAAAAAAATAATAATAGCAATAATAATGAAAACGATAAAAATATTTATAATAATATAAATGAAGCGTAACAAACAACATTTTTTTTTCATTTTCATTAACTTTTTCTGTCTCTTTCTAACGAAATATTTCACATTCTTTTCCTTTCTTTGATTTTAACTTCGAGCTGACTTTATAAAATTAATTCTTTTATGAGACCCAAATTGTTTGTATAACGCTTGAATAACCTTAAGCAGCAGTATTTACAAGTTAATCCAAATTTAAAGATTATATGTTTTAAATATTTTTAATGGGTTGAACCCTTCAACGAATTATAAAAGGAATCCTTTTATCGAGCATAAGAGAGATTAGCAAAGTGTGGAACCATCTTTGTTTTTTCTCCCCCTTTTTTGTCGCAGGTTCAATGGCAGATTGGGTCCCCGAGCTTAGTTAGTACGTTCGAACTAATACTTTGGTAAGTTCGGGGGAGGTCAATGAATTCTCACGCTACCCGTTATACCAATAATCGAGATATGAATTGTTTGAGGAATCGTGACACACTAATTGTTGATAAGCCACACACACACACACACACTCACACAGACACGCGCACATTAAACACACTCACACCCCGGCCCGAGTGTAGTAAATGATGTGTGACAAATCAGCAGGGCAAACAAAACACCAGATCGGGGGGGTAAGACTAGGTAATATTCTCGTAAATGTATAACATGTAGGGCAGATAAATAACCTAGGCAGTGAGAGCGAGAGAGAGGGAGAGGGAGAGAGAGCGAGGCAGTGTTAGGGTAATTGATAAGCTGCGGATAAGATAACGCACCTTTGACCAGTTTGAGAAAGACGCGCTGTGGCTTCACCTGCACCGCCTGCTCGTCCCGCGTCTCATAGTCCTTGAGGGGGCGCTGCTGCAGCAGCTCCAGCTGCGGCTGATTCTCATAGATGTTCGCCTCGCTGCAGTTCAAACTGAGCAGCG